CCCCCCCCCCCCCCCCCCCGCAGCATCCCATAATTTGGCTTCCAGGAAAAGGACCCAAATTTAGAGAGAACTACCCAAATCTCGAACTAGCACGGGCTGCGGCCACGCAGCCGTCTCGAAGGCGCGGAGAGGGGACTCGGTGTAGTTTGCCCAGTCACCTGAGCCGATAATATGACTAATAACACTCTTATTGTTGTCTATATATTTGCTATTGTTATTATTATTCTTGTTGTCATTGCTGCTACTGCTGTTAGTATTTTTATTATTGCTATTGTTAGTATTGTTCTTATTACTAGTCTTACGATCATTAATCTTACTACAGTGAATATTATATATTGTTTTGATGATTACAACTTTACTACTGTTACTATTCCAGGAACTGAACTATCCAAGATTTTTTGGAAGAGTCAACCTCAAAACCTCGCTCCGCGGCACGCCTTCGGTTTTTGGAGTATGACCAATTCTTGGCTGTTGTGTTTAAATGTCGTGTACCATGAGACCACAATCATTTTTATACTATAGGAGGATATTATTGGGGGTATCTGCATCGAAAAGATCTTTACGTCTCCTGCAGATCGCCATCCAATTTCATTGCTCTATAACTATAGAGCCTTCATCAGGAAAGACGACGATGATTCAACACAACTGCCGGATAAGAAATCCGCGTTCCATCACGGAAGTTCAAAACTGTCCTCTCAGCATGCCCTGTCCACACAGCACAGCAGATGACAGCCACGCAACCAATCAACTCCGGAGTTAAGCCGAAACCCTATTAGCCCGAAAGTCTGAACAGTCAACCCTAAACCCTACACTGTCAGCAAGCTGCAAAGAGTAGAGATCATTATACATCCCAAATTATGGTAGCTCAAACAAATTCCGGAACAAAAACCTCAGCAAAGTGCAGCTTCAGCTGAGCGACCCCAGGCGGAGCCGGTGAGACCATCCTGCGGCCAAGACGAGGACGATGCAAGGGGCTATGCTCAGGTTTAGGGTTTGGGGTGTGTAGGTGTTCATTCAAGTGGTCGTTTGGGGTATAGGGTCTAGGGTTTAGGTGCTTTTGGTAAGTTGTCGTTTGGGGTTTTGGGTTTTGGGTTGAGTGTGAACGGTCATGGCTATCTGTGGGGGTTCGAATTGCGGCCTCGCTCATGAATAACATGCATGGCCATGCAAGAAAGTTCCAGATTTCTTGGTGCTGCTGACACAATGTGGACGTGTCGGTTGTGTGCTGTAATTACCCGACTTCACGGTTTATAAAGACATGGATCATGCGAACGAGTAATTAGTTTTACAGCCCTGGCAGATCAAGGCGGATAGGGTTTTGCCTTCACATACAGTATACCTGCGTTCATTTGCAAGTTTTATGTGCGAAAACGCCGCGCCGCATCTGTCACAGCAACTACATCAAGTGCCCAGCTACCAAATTAGAACCTGCTTGTGTCCACAGACGTGTGTGCATCGCTTTGGCACATGCACCTGTTCCGAATCTGCGAACAGATCAGGCCTGGAAAAACATTCCAATGATCGCCATCATGGCCAGGCGGCCGTTAGCCAGCTCCGCATTGAGTTTCTTCTTCTTGAGCCTTAGCCACCATGGGACCTCTCTGTTCCTCCACATCGAACCTCAACAATATTAGCTGCGTCTACCGTCTCATGTAGGGGCCTTAATAATTAGAACAGGGTTTCGGTTTTCTTATATGTTGACTGTAATAAGGAACCCGCAAAAATAGTATTGGTAATTATTTCGGCCCCTATGTTACACGGAGAGTCGGGTTTCAAGGGACCCGCCCGGTTGCATGTTGTGCTGAACCGATGGAGTCGCGAGGTCGTCAAGACCATCAATACTCCCGAGAATGCTAACTTCATAGAACCCGTATAATACCCTTATACAAACCCTTATAGCGCCGTTATAGAACCCTTACAATACCCTTATATTATAGAAGCCCTATATTAATCCCTGGAGGTCCCTTTAGCAGGAACCCTTGTTTACACCGCGCAAAGTGCGAGGCTTTCTATGCTATGGAGCCTCGCAGCTCCGACCTCTTCCGGCGCCATGTTGCAGTACGAGATTGTACGAGGCTCGGGCTCGGGTGGTTTCGGGTTTAGGGTTTAGGGTTTAGGGTTTAGGGTTTAGGGTTTAGGGTTCCTCTTCCGTCGGAGTCGGCGGGTTTTTTATCTTTCCAAAACCACGCAGCGGACCAAAAATTTCGAAGCTTGTATCTTCATTGCATCAAGACATACGAAGACTGCGCAGTCTGTGGTTCCCTATGCTGCTTCCGTTTTCGTCGAGACGACCCTGCAATAGGACGAGTCTGAAGTTGAAAAGCTTCAGATGATCTGAGCAGCGCACTGGGAAGTAAATGACATAAACAGCATACTGCCGCTTGAACAGAAAAGCTCTGTTGCAATGGCACCCCAACCAGAATCCTGATTCAACCTCTGCTGGGCAATGCGGCTTGTACTGCAACTTGCGTGACAGCGCTCGACTGACATACTGCACTGCGTCCCCATCCGCTACTTCAAACTGAGCTTCCAGTTTAATTTTGTATCGAAGGTGCGATTGGGGTTTTGATTTCGCTGCTCGAAGTGTTCTTTCTTTCGTCGACCTTTGCCCAGACATCTTACAAAACATCACATTCGCCTGGACAGTCCAAGCAGTTTTCGGCTCGCCCGCTGCACGCACTTAACAGCGCCCCGTGGCTTCTGCGGACATTTGCTTTAAAGCCCCTCTTCGATAGCATCCCAACGTCTGCATAGCACACGCAAAGGGAGCGCAGGAAGGAAATTCACGAAAGTCTTAGCACCCAGCACGCGGCCTGGTGGCAACCCGATCGTCAGAGGGGGTCGGGTGGGCGAACGAACCATATCAAGGTCGCGCATTACTTGCTCAATCCACATCGCATCTGTTGATATGCCGTGCACTTCGCAGCAACGGAAGAAACAACAACCAAGGGAAGATTCACCGAGGAACTCCGGATCCTCGACGGGCTTGCCACCGAGGTAGGCTGGGATTCCTGAGAGAAAGGCCCAGGGGCTCTTTTGCTGTCGGAAGGCTCGCTGGCCGCTCTGAAGCCCTGTGGCCCTGACCCCTAAAGCCCGAACCCCTAAAGCTCACTCACGCACTCGCGTAAAGGGAAGGTCCTGTGCGACAGATGTGCGGACCGAGAACCCCTAAAGCCCAAAATCCTAAACCCAAAAGCCCTAAATCCTAAACCCTAAATCCTGAACCCGAAACCCTATAAACCCTTTTCGTCGAGGGACCAAGGAAGCCGTAGTCGTAATTCAAAGCGGTATCACCGAAAAGTCGGGTCTGGAGCTTGCCTGGCACAAGTGGGGCCGTGTAACATAGGGTTGAGGGTTTAGGTTTGTTTCGGGGGTTTAGGAGCTTTGAGAACTAGAATAGGGGTTTTGGGGGTCGTTTAAAGGGTTCCTTAAAGGGTTCTATCAGGGCTACTATGAATGAGGGTTTAGGGTTTAAGGACCTTAAGAATTAGAAAAAGGTTTTGGGCCGTGTTCTGCTATAACTATAATAAGGAACCCCAAAATAGCATTGGTAATTTTATCTAGGCCTCTATATTCGAGTTTCGGCGGTGCTGGTGTTTTAACAGGGTTTGGGGTTTCGGGATTACAGAGTTTCAGGCGGTAGGGCTTTGGCTCGTTTTGGGTCGGGCCCATCTCCAAAACGACGACGACGATGATGATGATGATGATGATGATAATGATGATAAATGATGGTCGTTATCCTCATGATGGTGATGATGGTGGCGATTTGCTGATGATCCTGAGAACGTGTATATACTTAGGAGATGTAGACCCACGACAGCGAAATGCAGCGTTCAAGCTACGGGGCAGCTTCCAGTGCATCCAATGTGTAGACCACGCATGCTCGAACTCCTTTTAAAATTTAGGGGTTTAGGGTTTAGGGTTTACAGGGTATTCCTATGACGTCCATTTTCACAGTCCATCCGATGTGCAAGCAGAAAGGTTCTTGTGAACAGAGCATTTTTTGTAGGCAGCCTGTTCACCTCAAAAAACATCCAACACACTGAGACTGAACTTTAGTGTCTCTCGCCCCAGCAGGTTTGCTCACCTTGTCTCTCGCAATTTGTACTGATAATCACACATGATCATAATCAGAACCATGATCATAAAAGCAATGATGGCAAAGACAAGGCTCATGAGGATAGTTAATCATGACAGTAACAAGACCAACAACCGCCATAACCCCAAACCCTAAACCCTATACCTTAAACCCTAAACCCGAAACCCTAAACCCTATAAACCTAGTAACCGCCATAACCCGAAACCCTAAACCCTAAACCCTAAACCCTACAAATAACCAGAATAAGAACAAGAATCAGCGTGAAACCTCGGAAGCGCCTGGAGGGTTAGAGGGCCTCTGGTCGGCAATCCACAGGTCGCAAAGGCCGCAGAAGACGGTGTACCTGTTTGAAGGGCTCAGAGCTTTGAGTTTAGGGCTTAGGGTTTAGAGCTTGGGGCTAATGGGGTTTAGGGGGGTGTACCTGTCTGAAGGGCTCAGAGTTTAGAGTTTAGAGCTTCGGGTTTAGGGTTTAGAGTTTAGGGCTAATGGGGTTTGGGGTTTAGGGGTTTAGGGGTTTAGGGCTTGTTTAGACTTGGAATTTTAAGGTTTGGAAGCCTGTTTTGGCGGATCTCGGAGTTTACCTGGCGTGAAGGTGTTGTGCCGCAGTGCAGAGCTCCCGCGCACAGAAGTTCACATGGGAGCCGTTCGGAAATTTCTTCTCCGGCCTATGAATCCGAACCCAACGCCTAGTACAGTAGCGGCTAATATGTGATGGGAATAGCGTTGGGGGGTGTAGTATTTTTCTGAAGCTATGATATGGGACCCTAATCGGCATTGAATACCATTTTTAGCGATGCTTCAGGATTTCCGGTTCAGGGATCGGCTTCAGGGTGTCACTGGGGCGGCGCTTCATGAATCGCAGCTTCTGCATGGCCGGGCTTGAAGCTCTTGTCTGAATACGCCCATGCAGAAGTCGAAGGTGCACAATTCCCCAAAGAAGTCGGACTGCAACCCTCACACCGTAGACCCTAAACCCAAAGCCCACTATGTACCCGAAACCCTAAACCCTAAACCTAGCCAATACACCTTGATCCTCATCCTCCCGCCTTTTGCAACCTTACGGCCCCTCAAAGGAGCCCAGAAAAGCGCCCTTACACCCTCCAAAACATGCTGTCAAAGTGCTGGAACCAGCCAACTGCCGGCACAACGGTGACCGCCTTCAGCCCGTTCCTCAAATCTCGCGGAGGCACTCATGAGTGTAGGTATGAGTACAGCCAGGCAGAGAGATAGATGTAGACAGAGACAAAGAGAGAGAGAGAGAGTTCTTACAAATATGTACATATATATATATATACATATATATATATATAGTATACATGTATGTACATGCACATAAACGCACAACGATTTCTTCCTCTACCAAGTACGAACTAACTGTGCAGTTACCTGTAGAGGAAGACAAGGGCCGAAGCCTCGATTGAAAGCTTGCAGCCGCCCCGGGAAGACGTGTCGAGCTCTGGATGCAGTATCAGAAGGTATGTGCGTGTGTGCGGTAGCATAACGATCCAACATGATGCAATACACTACACTTCACTAGAAGACGCTTCAAGAATAAGAAAGATCATATGCAGAATGTTCACATTATATATGCTTACATACTGAATTGTTTCCATGCTTGCCTAGATGCCTGCATACGTACTTGCACATGTATTTATATATAATTGTATACACATGCATAACATCATTTTGCAGAACCCCACACACACACACACCTTCTTCACACACGTAGTGTACTACCTGTTGCACAGTGTACCATGTCTGATAAGAGATCCTTTAAGGGCCCTTTCAGCGATCCCTGAAAGCTTTCATTCCCCACACCCTAAGCCCTAAAGTCTTAAGGGCTCCTTTTGCCCAGGCACGGGATGTCGGCGAACTTGATGTCTGAGCTCGGGGACAAAAAGCCCGGGAAGCGGACGAACTCCTGCACCTGGGAGGGTCGCAACTGTTTGGGGTGTAGGGTTTAGGATTTAGGAAATCGCAGGACGCGCAATGCAGTGGGCCCCCTGATACTTGGGGTTTTGTCTGCATTTCATTGTGGGATTTGTGGTGCCGGTGCTTCACGAAACGGAATTCGGGTGCTCATGGCTTCGGATCTTCGGATACTTGTTGGGAGGCCCTTACTGTGCACCGGAGGCTGGGCTTTTTGTATTTTTTGTTTATAAAGTGGGCTTTAAACCACCACGAAAATATGCCCCAAAGCCCTTTCTGACGTTTGAGGCCCCAGCATCCTGAACCCACTCTCCAAAACTTCGCTTCCCGACCAAGGTGCGATGTAGCCGGTGCACGCGAGCATTGAAACGCGTCCGTGCTTGATCTCTACCTCGGCACCCATGCACGACGAGAGGGTATGATACAAGCATTCTTTTATAAGGGCCGTAATGATTCGACTCGAGTTCTGGTCCTGATACTAGATTTTTCGTTCGCTTAACCGAGGAACCCGAAGGAATGTGTCTCAGAATTGCATTACTACTTGATTTGACGTTTATATATTCTTGGAGATGCCTAGCAGGCATGGCACCGCGCTTTGGATACGTATAATTTCATTTTAGATACTAATATCCTATAGCATCATATGATATATTATTATGATATGATATGATGTAACACGTTACAGTATACTACAATGTGGTATGATATGTTATGATATGATATGGCATAATGTGCCATCGTATAATCTAATATAGTTTGATATGATATAATATATGACAATCTAGTATGATAAAAGTGTATCGTCTCATATGATACAATATAATACAGTATGGTACAACATAATACCATATAACGCGATATAATACAGCATTGCAGTGGATGATGATCTGGTATGGTATGTTATGAGATGATATGATACGGTATGATGTGGTAGGATATGACATGACGTGATGCAGTAGCAAGCAATGTCATAACTCATAACTGGAAGGAGACCCTGTTGCTCTGTATTTAGAGCTCGCTTGAACTTAGAGACAATCAGCCTTGAGCTGGTGCCCGGACACCTCCCAAATCGACCTGCCAAGTCTACAGAAGCCCTACACCCCACTCCACATCCTGAACCCTAGACCCTAAGCCATTCAGAAGAACATCAGCGAAGGCGCCACGCGGCGGCGGTAGAAGTCCTTGGCGTCACCATCCGAGGTGAAGCCCGCGGGATCCTCAGCAAAGAGCCACAGGGGAAGCCTTTACGGGTTTTGGGATTAGAAGTTTAGGGGCTTATCAATTAAGGGGAGTAGGGGTTTAGAAGTTTAGGGGGATTTGGGGTTTATCAATTTAGGGGTTTATACAGGGGTTTACGGGTTTATCAATTTGGGGGTTTAGGGGTTGAGGGTTTAGGGCTTAGGGTTTAGGAGGGTAGAGGGAGCCTCTGCTCAAATCGGGATGTTGGAGGGCTCTTTGTGGTTTCTGCCCAGTTTCTGCAAGGGCTCCGGAGGGTTTAGGGTTTAGGGTTTAGGGTTTAGGGTTTAGGGTTTAGGATTTGGGGGCTTCGGGAGCCTATCCTTAAAAAGGGCAACTTGAAGGGACTCTCATCCAGGGACCCTTCAAGGGCTCTAAAACACTCCACCAAGAAGGCCCTCCCCTTGCTAAGAAAGGCCATGGCTCCCAAAAGCCCACGGGAGCCTGCACGCCAAGCTCATTCCTTGGCTCTCTTGTCTTTTTTGGCCGGGCTTCAGGGTTGAAGGATGTTAAAGGTCTCTGGCTTAGGGTTTACGGTTTAGGGTTTAGGGTTGAGGGTTTAGGGTTGAGGGTTTAGGGTTGAGGGTTTAGGGTACAGGGTTAGGGTTTGGGGGGCTTTGGGTATAGGGTGTAGGGCTCAGGGCTTAGGCCGGGGCTGGTTTTGGGGGCGGCACAGGGCCTCTGGACCTTCTATCTCCCGGTTTAGGGTTTAGGGTTTAGGGTTACAACGCTGAGTTGCAGAAGAGAGTTCAGCACCCGAATTTTCAACTCCAGATCATCTGCTTCGTATGCATACCCTACAACTCCCCATGCTCAAGCCCTGAAAACCCGGATTATGAAGTCCCTTTAAGGGAGGTCTGTCGCAGAATAGAGAGAAACCAAGGTTCTCGAAGGCACGGAGCGCCGCCCTCTCCTTCGTAGCTTTGGGAGGCTCTGAAGGGATGGTTTAGGGTTGAGGGTTTGCCATGGGAGGCTCTGAAGGGAGTCTCTTTCGGGGTTTCGGATCCTCGCACTTCGTTTCTCCCGTTGTTCGGCGCAGCCAAACGCTAATAATTGTAGGGGCCTTAATACTTAGAATAGGGATTTGGGGGCTCCTTATTGTTAAAATTCTAGTAGAATGTATCCCCAGACCCATTTAAAATTTAAAATTATTAAGGCCCCTATCTTACGTATCCAGCAGGTCCATGGACGGCTCGAGTCTCCTGAAACGTACAACCCGTGAAAGACCCTGAAGCCTCCAACGATATCACCCTCTGGGGTTTAGGGTTTAGGGTTTAGGGTTTAGGGTTTAGGGTTTAGGGTTTAGGGTTCCGTAAGCCTTAAACCCTCAAACCCTCTGACCCTCCTAAACCCCTAAAAACCCTAAAAACCGTAAAAAAAAACCCTATATAAACCCTACAAACCCTACAAACCCTATAAGCCCTATAAACCCTAAACCATATGAACCCTACCAACCCTGAAACCCTTAACCCTAAACCCTGATAAACCCCCAAACCCTTCCCGACTCCAGTCCTGGGCCGAAAAGGGCTCACCCTAAACCCTAAACCCTAAACCCTAAACCCTAAACCCTAAACCCTAAACCCTAAACCCTAAACCCTAAACCCTAGGTCATGACAACGCGCTTCTCAGCCCCGGAGCTAAAAAAATCAGGGCCTTCCGATCCTTACGGTAGGGTATTGGGGGCATAGTCTACTCTGTAACTATATACCCCTATAAGCGCTACAAGTATGAGAGTCAGGATCAGAATCATAGTCATCGTCGTAACCATAATTGTCTAGTACTAACAAGAATGCTTATTACTATTCCTACATCTTATCACGATGCCATTTAATTACCCTAAACCCTATAAACCCTACACCACGATGCCATTTCAATGTTCGGTGCTCCTTCTTGGGCGCGGCGATGGCAGCGCCGACCGCGGCGCCGAGGCCGCAAATGGCCAGACCCGTCGAGGAGGAAGAGGAGGCCTCATAAGGGTTTAGGGTTTAGGAGTTTAGGGTTCAGGGTTAACGTCCCTTCAAAGGCTGCTGGGCTCCAGCTCACGCGCTGTAGCTGCCTTTTGTCGCCCACGCCGCCGCGCGAGCGAGGTTGGAGATGAGGAG